ATAGCCCCAACCCACCCCCCAGCAAACCTTTTTTCAAAAATAATAAAGTAGGACAGTGACGAGAAAGCTGGGACAATAAATAAAGGCTCCCATCTTAATCTGCATTCTTAATCCCGGGTAAGCTTTTGACGGATCGTGCTCTGCTTCCACCCAATGCCCAGAGTTTGGGCAACAGCCAATCAGTTGGTCTTCAAGGTGCCACAAGAGACTTTCTCATTTGACTCGAGAAATACTCTTTGGGAATCCCTGCTCCCAGGGAGCGCAAGCAGGCAGGCTCGAGTTCTGCTCAGCTGCGAGGGGTCACCGGACCGAATTCACACCCCCTCGCTGTCCATTCTTTACAGTGACGCGGAATGGCTGTTCCTCTGCCCCCGGCTTACTGGACCGGGAGGGGGAAAGGATCCAATTTAGAGAAAGGATAAAAAAACAGGTGCAAAGCACGGGCACACGCTGCAAGAGAGGAAGCATCTTGGGATCCTGAGCATCTGAACACACGCTGGAGAGATGCAGCCGCTGACGAGGGGGTGGCAAAGGGGCAGGCGTGCTGGCCCATCCTTGCCCGATCGCCTGGTGGGACAATCTCTGGCAAGCAGAAGGCAGGCAGAGGCCACAGGTGGGCACAGATCCCATGGCATCGGGAGCATATCCCATGTGAAGAGGGCAAATAAATACAAAGCAGGGTGGTTCACAAAGCCCCGTCCCCACTCCAGGCATCGGGCAACCCGTCTTTCTGCCACCACTTGGCACGGACAGTCCAAGGTGGAGGGAGGAGGAAGATGGAGCACAGCGCTCCCCCCAATCAGGTGGTCTCTCAGTCCAGACGTGCTCCGCTTCTGCGCCTGATGGCGGGCAGACCACCGCGTCTTCACTTCTTCCTGTCCTCTCCCTTCTGGGAAAGACGGTGTGAGATCACCCGGTAGGCCGCCAGGGTCTCGTGGCGCTTACTCCGGTCATAGCCGGGGACCCCTGTGGTGACAGGCTCAAGGCCGGATCCCAGATCTGGTTCTGCCAACGGAGGAGGAAACATCAGCATCAGATCTTGGCTCCCTTCTCCTTTTTAGGAACGCTTTGCCAAGGCGCCCAAGATTCACTCGTGTCTCTCAATGCATCCTCCTCTTATGGCTTTAGAGATCAGCGTGAAAAAGCACCGGCCTGCCCTTAGGAAATACTAGAATTCCGAGGTGCCCCTCTGCCCTCCCCCCATTTTGGAAATGGCTTGACTCCAACAGCCTGTGTCCTTCAAGAGCAAGGTCCTTCAATGCGTAATTTGGGCAATGCGTAGTTTTGAGCAAATGGAGCTTAGCAATTTGGCAAATAAATCTTTTCTGGGGCAGAGCTCGGGAGCGCTGTGGCCTCCCCAGGGTTGCTGGATTCCAACATATATCAGCCTCAACTAGCCTGGCCCTTGGATATGTATGGTGGGTGTTGTAATCCAACATCACTTAGAGAGCCCTAGGTTAGCTCGTTCCAACTTTTCCAACTTGGTCTCCATCCCCACCCCAAGACACCTTGGGCTGGTAGTTTATTAAATCATCTCGAATGAAAAGATATCAATACTCATTTAGCCTGAACACCAAATAGATGTTTCACCACCAGTGGAGGACAACCTAGCGAAGGTCAGCAGGCTGAGAGTCCCTCCCCTGTGGAGAAATCCATTTTGGAGAGGGATGGGAGAACCTGTGAATGACTACTCATCCTACAGGAGCTAAACTGAACCTCCATGTACAGTGGCAGCTTAACCTGGCACATCAGGAGCCTCTGTTCTGCTCGCAAGCGTTCCAGAGGGATCTGGGCAGCTGCTATTGCAAGATGAGGACCTGGTTCTAAGCCATTCCCATGTGTTTCTCTATCAGATAGTTCATTGATGGACACCTCTTACATTACTCTCTTCCACCCTTGAACCCTCTAGGTGCCCTGGGACTACAACTCCCAGAACTACCCAGACAACTGGGCCTTTGGAATCCTGGGAGCTGCAGTCCTAATCGAGTTGGGCATGCCAAGGTGAGGGACACCTGTCCCAAACAACCACGGATTGTTAACCACTGCTGGATGGATGCAAGCTGTATTTTTGTGTGCATGCAGGCTAGTCTGAGGTGCCTCTGAGCACGTGCAAAGGATACCCAGCAGAATCTGGGATTCTACAGCTCCAGCAACCCAAATCTCCTTTGTTTTGACACCACGGAGGAGGAACCTTTGATTTGCCTTGAGCTGATGCTGGGAAGAGGGGGGGGGTCTTCCGATTCCCCTCAAATTCTGCAGCCAGAGGCCGTGTCCATCCCCCACCCCACCAGCAGGGGAGTCAAGACAGGCCAAACCATGCTAGAATTAAAAAAAAAAAAAAAAAAAAAAAATTTTTT